ATCATTCTGCGCTGACACGGTGTTTTATCCTGAGCTATGGTTATAGACTTATAACTACTGTTCAGTCTTAGGTGATCCTGGCATTTAATGAACTTACTAGAATCAAGGGAATTACTCAACTTAAAAATAATGGGACAGTTAGCCTGGTTAGACTTTTTACGAAGTCTTTTGCATTCACATGGAACACTGGCCATGCCGCAACAAATCAGGATTTTGTGTTTAAGTCTTCAGAGGAAGAGAATCTGGGACATTGTAAACTATAGCCTGGTGAGAAGAGGTTATACGCTTCATCACCTCCGCAGCCAAGCAGTCAATCAGATTTTCGGCCTTATTTAGGGTGTCTGGAGACATTTTAGGATGCTTTCTTAACAGACAGGCTATTGGGTCTAAATCCGAAAGCTTGCTTTGAGTTACATCCAGTAAAGACTTAACCTGGCCAATATCAGAACTGCTCTCCGTGATATTTGACATTGGCAGTGACATTCTATCAAAGTGACCTAATTTTTTCTGAAGTTCATTTACTTGCCTTTGGATATCTTTCACAAGGAGGTCTAATTTACAGATCTCAGAGTTCTCTAAAAGAACAACTTTCATCTGTATCACAGGAGTGAGAATTGCACTCAAGCCATTTTGTGAGCTAGTAGTTAATGCTGTATTACAGGGTGGTAATGCAGTTATAACCGAGGTTGAGGCACTATCTAAAACAACTGTGTTTCTACGAACACGTTTTTTGGAAATTTGGACCATAATTACAGGGATTATATGACTATAAGCAGTAAATGAATATCAGAGCAAACACGTGCAAAAATGTCACTAATTTCGAACGTACCGCCAGAATAGGTAGATCAACGTGGAGAAGTGTGGACTGTTATGCCCAGCTCGCTTACGTATCACACCACACATAACTATGTGCAACAAGCCTATCACTATCTTTCCTTCTGTACTTGACCTCGGGCTTCGTTACTCCGCTGACTTTAAATTCTCTCTATATATCACCAACCAAGTTTCTAAAGCCAGAAGATTACTTGGATTTATATTTCATAACTTTCAAACACAAGAATCTAAAATGTTACTTTATAAAACACACATACGGCCCCTCCTTGAGTACTGTCCATTTATCCTAGACAGCACCTCTGTTAAGGACAAACTAAAGATTGAAAGTGTTCAAAGGCGATTTACAAGTAGAATCCTAGGAACAAGTCTGAAAGTTCCCTACAACTATCGTTGCACAACTCTTAAGATCGAACCCCTTTGGTTCAGGCGCCTCCGACTAAACCTCATTCTCCTATTTAAAATAATCAAAGGAATAGCATACTTCCCCAATAATAACCTTAACTTTACTTCTTCGACGTATGAACTACGCAGCAACGGGTCTTCTCTAAGTCATATTCCTTGTCGAACGAAATCACGTTTCAACTTCTTTACAGTCAAATATAGGCAAACATGGAACTTCTTGCCAAGTGAAATTAAAAATAGCACCACATTACAACGATTCGCCTATCTAGTAAATAAATATTTCTCTGAAAACAGTCTTGAAACAGTTTGCCACATACTGAATATTCGCGATATTGTTTCTTTCCCCTTTGAATAACGTACCTAAACAGCTTTGTTCACCCAAAGCATTAACAGAAACGGTCAGTATTATCGGAAACACTTAAAATAATCAACGTTGCACTAATGCTGTTCTCAGTTCCTTTTTTTAGTTGATTCACTTGTTTGTCTAGCAAGCATCATCACAAAATATTCACAATCCTTTCATACAAACCTGGAGTGGAATACTCAGCCTGACATACCACGAAAGCTGCACTGAATCTACATGAACTACCCTCACACCTAGTGCCATATCTTTTCAGCGATTCAACTCCATTTAATCCCAGCTGCTGACTGTCAAATTAATCAAATATTATGGTGAATATCCCTGGCAATGTGGTGGAAGTTCTACCTCAAGGTTGAGTAGCAAACAACCTGGATATGGCTGGGACTAAAATCTCCACTGGTGACTAGCTAATGTTGTGAGTAAATATCACCTACGTCTACGCCAATTCCAGCCCTATGCCAGATCGTCTAAAAAATCAGCTTAACTTCACTGTGAGTTTTTAAATATTAGCGGATTTTTATTTTACGGTTCTGTTATTATAATCCTCTGTAGTCGTATTCTTCTGAACCATCTATTATAATTAACTGCTGCCTCTTTTTATGCATATATGAACATAACTGTGTACCTTGATGTATTTTTCTCTTCTCGTACCATTTCATATTGCCCCTTCGTTTCATATGTTAATAATTAAAATCTAGAAGGTAGACTGCAAATCTCTGATTTCCTTACTCTTTTATTGTACATATATATTTTTAAAATGCTGTTAGGGACGATGCATACAAAATGGCTGACTGAAAGTGGTCGTTCATACCATGAGTTTCGTTGAGTTAGCTAGTGAAGGTGAAAACTGTCTATTTGACACGTAGCAATAAAAATTTCTTTTTCCAAAAACAAGAGGAGTATTTCGCCAGGGCCTAGCAGATTAAAAGGTGGGAGGGTGGTGACCGCTATTCAGCGGATATGATGGTGGGGACTTAAGAGAACCACCCTTATCTGTGGGAATGCGCTCTATTGCTAAGGTTCCTGAGTGTGAATGACTTCAAAAAAGATTATAAAATAAAATACAAGCTGCCTGTATAACAAAGCTTGTGTATAAACTCTTTGAAAACAAGCTCATGGTACGATTTCTCTACTTCAGGAGGACATCTAACTGTATAAATCAGAACATCAGCATAAATAAGTATCATCACTCTTTTTGTTTTTCTTCACTTCTATATATTTTATGTAATTTGGCGTTTGGATTTAACTTCTCCACTTTCTATTCCCATTATCCTATATAGGTTTAAAAATCATTATTCGTTTTGCCCTTACTTTTCCTAAAAAGATTTTGTTATTCTACATTTTTTGTTGTTGTTTACTATCACAAACTTGAACTAACTGTTAGTATGTAACACTATAAAACTCAATGACTCTAAATTATTAGTAACAAAATAGGGGAATAAACCCTGCGTTTATCGCATATTGTTTGCTTAAATTATTATTATTTGCTGGCTGCCTCTGCACCTCTCTTTCTGTTTTCTTCGTTCTACTCTCGAAGGTATTGCATTGATGCACTGCAAATGAACAGTAATGCTGCTTTCTACGTTTGTATTACTTGAGCGTTATTCCGAATATTGTTGGTACACACGACGAACCACGGAAGAAATTCCATTCTGAATTCTGTTTATCATCGCAAAGTTGGTCTCTTGTATCTGTTAATACCAAAATAATGTTGTACTTATCCGCTGCTGTGGAGTTGTTTTTTTAAATATTTGAACCCTTATTAATTGACAAAATGATAATGATCACAAGGCCTGTATCCTGTATGTCTTGCTCTAGCACATGTTTATCAACTCTCTTCTTACCTTCCATTAACGCAACATTTCGTAATTCCCGCATGAATTTAACTGACTATAAGTATATTGTAGACTATAAATTAGACTTGAACCAATATATTGTAATCTATTCTAACAAAGTTTCTAGAGGTTTTTCCATTTCTCCAATTTTTAATGTCAAAAAACAGTGCTCCATTTCAAATTGCACTTGTCGAATATGATCATGCCTGTACAAACGGTATGTTAATCATGTAAATGCTTAATTTATGTGAAATATATATTAAATTATATTATTATTAAGGAAATCTTCATGTATATTTATTGCGCGTGGATTAATAACAATGATATAATCTAAATTAGCTTTTATTGCAGCCTGGAGACCAACCTTCAGTAAATTTGAGTCATCTTCACTCTAAATGAATATTAAGGTAAGTAAACAGAAAACTGCATCTAATATTCAAAATAACTTTTATAATTCAGTCGAAACAATACTGAAAGTTAAAGAATACTAAACAAACACACACAAACACATAATTTATCTGAAGAAATATTTAATCGTGAACCAAAATTAGCGAGAAAACTAATGACAACCAGGGGCACTGGTCAGTTATTATATCCTCCTTCGGAATGTTTCAGTAGTGGGAACCCACAGCTCCTACCAGGTGCAGAAGCAAAAAGCATCGGGAAACCTTCTCACTTTCAAATGAAGATCGATGGCTCAGGAATTTCAACCTTTGTCAATGCATGATATAGTTCAAAAACTGTCTTCGTACTTGCTTTCCTGGAACCCATCAGTTGCAACTTTTCACCGCATCTTCAATATATCTTTATTCAAGATGACAACGAGTAAGTCATCGGCTGATATTCAGATCTTGTATTAGTGAGAATTTAAATGATCTCAGAGTAGATTTTGTTATGTATATTCAAAAAAGATATTTGGAGATCAGGTTTGGCAGGAAATACTTCGGTTTTAAAATAATGAAATTAAGTGGGATCATCTGAAAGCAAAATAATGGTAAAACATATACGTCTCACCTCTTCAATCAGCCAGACAAATATTTAAATATGCTAACTTATCGATAACTTGAAGTGGTTCACTTGCGAGGAGAGTGCAGGTACAGGCTCCCGCCAATCCTGCTACAATACTGTGCACTTAGGTGGTGTAAAGCATATATCGTATTCACAGATAATGGTCGCCAAGTAATTAAGTGCGATGATAGTTTCTACTGAGAATCAATTTATAGTGTATGCCTAGTATTTTTCTAAAAACTGTTCTATTAGATATCTTCATAGTAATTATAGGCGAAAACTAAAACGGGTGACATTTCGTCTTTAAACTTGTCAAAAGTCTTCTTGACTTCCATTCTGGTGACCATCTCCGGAGTAAGTTTGTGTTACTCATGACATTTATTAGTTTGGTATTTCATCCAAAGCTGTTGTAAAAATGATTTTAATATTATTTATTGGCATTAATTAAGTGTGTAAGGATAACTGTGTAGATTCAATCTTAATGAACTTATTCTCTTGCTGTAAATGAATATTACCTTACACTAAACTGTATAACTGCTTTTTTTTGTTTAAATATACAGGTTGATATTGTTCTAGGTGTTACAAAAAGATGCTCAAAAATTACCCAATCTTCTGTCAATATTAATTCCATAAAAGTAAATTCGTTCAATGGTTTATATTTATTGGGTTTAAAAGGTGGACATTCTTCATTAATGTCTAATATCAGCTTACTTTGTGACAATGTAACATGGTCATCTATGTCAACTGCTGATAGACTATGGAATAATATTTATCACAAGCTGCCTACTTGGAATTCAGTGTGTTTACGTGAAAGGTTAGAAGAGGTAAAGAAAAAGAGTATAATACATATTATCTCATAAGGTTTGTTTTAGCCTATTTTTTAAAATGTATATCTACTAAATCAGTGATCTTCTAATGGTATCAGCCACTTATTTAGGCATTTGACTGATTGACTGACCGGTTTCAACATTGAACTTTGCACTGAAGTAAAGGCTTAGTTAAGTGTCTAACAAACCGAGCAGTAGCACTAAGTAGTACAACAGAAAACCTAAACGATCAAATGAAACAGATAGAAGAGGCGTTGGTGTTAAATAACTATTTTATTAAATTCCTTAGGAATATAAAAAAAAGTCGAAAGCAAAATGAAAATAATGATAAAACTAATAATGATAACATAAATAAGAAAGAGTATAAGGCATCTACAGTTTTACTGTATAAGGAGGGGACATCTGAGATCTTACGTAGGGTTCTCAATAAAGCAGGAATTAGGGTGGCATTCAAATCTACAAGGTCACTCAGAGACAAGCTCTGTAGGCCTAAGGACCCGGTGGACCCAATTAAAGAAAAAAAATATTATTTAAAAAATCCCTTTCAATGACTGTAAGGTCAACTATATAGGTCAAACTAGTAGGTCAGGAGTAGTGAGATTATGAGAACATAAGAATTTAGCTAAGGTTAGAATGTTTAATCCCGCGAAGATAAGTAATTTAGAAAAAACCTCAGCAGTAGTGCTGCATGCATTAACACACAACCACATAATAGGGTTGGACAGAGTCAGAATTCTAAAAAGTAATAATGGTAGGTGGAGAGAGAGATTGATTACTGAATCCTAACTGATTCATCGAGTCTACACCCAACAACTGCAATAGAAGTGACTCAAAGCAAATACCAGAGATATGGAAGATGCTATTACCAGTCAAATCAGAGGATAATAAATAATGTTAAGATGTATTCAATTCATATTATAACATTCTAACAAGTTACTTGTTTTTACTATGAAAACATCTTATTCCCCATCTAATTGTATTTTATTGATAACACTAATATTATTTCCGAATGTTTTTATCTTATATTGATTTTATTCGAATGTCTAATCAGATTTTACTCATGTATATAAATGAAGCAAGAAAGTTATGCGAGTACCTTCATATGATTATGAACAGTAATAATTTGTGCTCGAAATGTCATCAGTGAATATTACTATACGACACTGTGTGATTTTGATAGCATTATTAGGAGACGGAGATTATCTGAAAAATGTGATGTATTAGCGCTATACATTTCGAACAATCTGATCACACATTTACTTGTCAAGTCAATATATATGGAAAAGTTAAATTAAACAAAGTGACAAAAAACGAATTAAGAATAATTAACACAAACGTTTGGTAATCCAATCAAATAAGGATTACCAAGGTAGGTTAAGAGTAATAACAAACAGTTTTTGAATACACAAGGGGGACTTAAGTTTATGAATGGCTATAGCCTCAGCGTATTTCAGTAAACGTCCTTGACCGTTTTTATAGATGACCTTAAAGGCTGAGTCAACATCAACCTTATGGTTCATCTCGATTAAATGTTTAGCTACGTCATCTTCAGACGGGCAGTCCGTGTCACTCTAACCAGCCGCGCTATCATCAGGAAGTTCCATGGCTTTAGACAGTAGTTCGTGAGCCTCTCTTATTAGAGTCATCCTTAGGGAGCAACACATTCTGCACATCCAGTGGGATGTTGCAGCACTACACTAGCGCGCAAACTAATGATGTTTGAAAAAGGGATTCCTTTTTTCACGTATTTTCACGCATTTGACAAATCGCTGTTTTTTGTGTTATTCACTTCAGGAATATTTTTTAAAACTTTAACTTGACTTTTGTTTGTTCAGTTTTGATTTTATCCACTTACATAGTCTATATAGGGTAAATTGTCCTGGCTGTTTCCAGTACCCAGCCAGCAATGATTTCGGGCGCATTGCAGACTTTCTGGGGCAGACTTAGGGCACATTGCAGATTCCGACTTAAACTTAGGGCGCATTGCAGATTTTTTGGGTCGTTCTTATGAGCGGTGTTTGGCTAGAAATCAACCAATGGGAGTAACCCATATGTACCTCATCAACCAATGACAGCTAACTTTGCTAAACTGCGTTACAATGAATCTGAATTAGTGATTAGTAATACATAAATTGAAATTATATACTTATTTAATATAGGCAATCAATTAAACATACATTTTACTATCTAAATACATCATAATAGGCCACTTCATCAGAAGTCTTTTACTGAACTAGAATCCTTGGAAGCGGTTGAGTTCTCCGTTTGTATTTCCACTGCCGTGAGTTTCCTGCGTGCTTGCCAACCTCCTAGTTTACCAATTTTTTGTCAGTAACTAATCGCATACTTCTTATATGTTTAATATTACGACTATTACACAGTGCTGCCCGTTTTTATTATTAGACATAGAGCATAAAATCAGTGTAGACTGCAGAAATCCGTTCATTTAAATTTTTTCCGATTTCTTCCAGGTAAAATGAGCTTGAAGGGTTCTCCGTCCAGCATGACCAAGACACTAAACAACCTAAATGACATCAGAACACCAGCTAGTGTCGAACCAAAACGGCGGACGTATTTGAGACTACGTAAGTTACATTTATCAATCTTCTGTGACGAAGCAGCGAAACTTAATTTTGACTTCAGCCAATATAGATCAGTGTACTATCGACGTCTCAACAAATACAAACTGGAGTGAGAGCATGTAGCATTTATAAGGTAAGCTTGTTATTTCAAATTAATGTACACAGAATTATATTCCAAATCTCGTGATATTGAACCGCAGCCAGAAATTACTCCAGGAAACATGGTTACTCCCCAACAACTTGTCGTTCCAATTGATGTTACTTGTGATACCATTGTATCTCCACCGTCATTGGAGGAACACTCAAGAGGTGTGCAACATAGATGGCACTGAAATAGAGACCAAGTCGGAAATTAATTATCTTGGCGTCATTCTAGCTGCTGATCTTTCCTGGTCGTCTCATATCTTCATGACTTATTTCTAAGAAAATATTCCATCTAACCTTCTACATCGAGAAGTTAAGACATTCTTGAATAACCCAACCCTTACGATTCGTTAACTCTTGCATCCTGCCTGTTATTCCCTATTGTCCCCCCTTAGTTTTTCCAGGGCTACTGAAGAAGGAATACATCTCATTACGTAGGATGCTAGAGGTTTTCAGCAGGTTAAGCAATGTGCCACTTAACCAGCTTGTTAATACTCTGGTCGACAGGCACTTGGACTCATGTGAAAAATGGACTGAATCCATTCCATCTAAGTCACACCACCCTCTTCATTCACAACTCTCCCTTTGTATCTCAACAGGCACGACCAGAAGACTGTATATAGAAAACCATATGCTCACACTAGCAGGTACAAAGACTCAACCATATCCCACTTAGCTCGTGTTCTGTGCGATAAAGAAAGTGTAGTGTACATTGAACCCTCACACTTTTGTTTGAACGGACTCAGAATTTCCTCCTTCGACTCGTGAATCTTTTGCACGGTTTTGGTTTCGCTCTCTCGTTGTGCTTTCACCCGGCTCACCCTCCGAGCTTACCGCCGTCCCGATTGCAGATAATAGTAATATAATAATAAATATTTCACATAAATTAAGCATTTACATGATTAACATACCGTTTGTACAGGCATGATCATATTCGACAAGTGCAATTTGAAATGGAGCACTGTTTTTTGACATTAAAAATTGGAGAAATGGAAAAACCTCTAGAAACTTTGTTAGAATAGATTACAATATATTGGTTCAAGTCTAATTTATAGTCTACAATATACTTATAGTCAGTTAAATTCATGCGGGAATTACGAAATGTTGCGTTAATGGAAGGTAAGAAGAGAGTTGATAAACATGTGCTAGAGCAAGACATACAGGATACAGGCCTTGTGATCATTATCATTTTGTCAATTAATAAGGGTTCAAATATTTAAAAAAACAACTCCACAGCAGCGGATAAGTACAACATTATTTTGGTATTAACAGATACAAGAGACCAACTTTGCGATGATAAACAGAATTCAGAATGGAATTTCTTCCGTGGTTCGTCGTGTGTACCAACAATATTCGGAATAACGCTCAAGTAATACAAACGTAGAAAGCAGCATTACTGTTCATTTGCAGTGCATCAATGCAATACCTTCGAGAGTAGAACGAAGAAAACAGAAAGAGAGGTGCAGAGGCAGCCAGCAAATAATAATAATTTAAGCAAACAATATGCGATAAACGCAGGGTTTATTCCCCTATTTTGTTACTAATAATTTAGAGTCATTGAGTTTTATAGTGTTACATACTAACAGTTAGTTCAAGTTTGTGATAGTAAACAACAACAAAAAATGTAGAATAACAAAATCTTTTTAGGAAAAGTAAGGGCAAAACGAATAATGATTTTTAAACCTATATAGGATAATGGGAATAGAAAGTGGAGAAGTTAAATCCAAACGCCAAATTACATAAAATATATAGAAGTGAAGAAAAACAAAAAGAGTGATGATACTTATTTATGCTGATGTTCTGATTTATACAGTTAGATGTCCTCCTGAAGTAGAGAAATCGTACCATGAGCTTGTTTTCAAAGAGTTTATACACAAGCTTTGTTATACAGGCAGCTTGTATTTTATTTTATAATCTTTTTTGAAGTCATTCACACTCAGGAACCTTAGCAATAGAGCGCATTCCCACAGATAAGGGTGGTTCTCTTAAGTCCCCACCATCATATCCGCTGAATAGCGGTCACGTTGTGTCTTCTTAGAGGCAGATGTATCCACCGGTATTATTGGCATGGATCTCTTGCAACATTATCAGCTACTGGTAGGTACTGGCAACCACAAATTGATCGATTCAGCTACAAACCTCTCCATCTCCGGTGTTGTGACGCACACACCTTCATTAAGTCCAGTATATTCAACCCCTGCCTCTAACGGCCCTTACGCTGATGTTCTCCAGTCCCTTGCCAACCTGTTCAAACCGGTTTCCAAACTTCCTTGTGTGACTTCTACTGTCACTAATCATATCGGGACA